ACCGGGCGAATATTCGTGGGCAATTTGATAATCGAAGCGCGATTATATATGCGCGGTCCATTAGCGGCCCTAATAATTGAGCGTACGGTTCTGCGATTTTTTTTTTTTAAATGAAACGATCACGCATTAAAGCTAAGCTCACAGAAATTCATTACACCACGGTTATTTCACTTGGATAATATTTGCTTGACCCGCCGGCATCCATTAGTTTATTCAATTTACAAAAGGAAGATTAACCGGCCGATTAAGTGCTTTGACGACCAAGTACTCACTCGTTGTTATCGGTTTATCGTCAGAAAGTTCGGTGTGGCGAAAGTAAATAGCCGGCGAAGGGCGCGGCCCGTTTGCTCGAAGCTCGCCAAGTCGATGAAATGTCATTTATGACATTAAATTTCTTAATGGTTTTGCATGCGGGCTACACGAAGCCACGCCAAATTTATGTGCGTGCTACACGTGCGAGAAATAAATAAGCAACATTTCTGTACACCACGTGCGCACGTATGTTGCTGAAAAATTTTTTATGCCATGACACTGATATATATATATATATATATACGATCATTAATCATGTAAATATCGAAAAACGCGCGAGTCAAGAGCTAATTACTTTCACATATACAATTAACAAGCTGTTTATTTTTAAAATGAATGTTTAGCCAATCCGATTATCAGACGAGGCAATTTAGTTTCTCATGGCCAAAAAACGCGCACGCGGGAAAAGAACGAGTTGTTAAACGAGCCTTTCTTTTAAAAGAAGGCTTGTTTAATGTAATAGCGAGGACTGGTTTCGCTGATGCACGCTATCTGACTTTTCATTTTCGAGCAAACATAGGTTCATGTTTGCGCGCACGGCAAACGTCCTGCGGAAATATAGTCTCGGAAGTATCGTAAATCTGTGCTTTATACCGGTAAGTCGGTGACAAGTCAGTCGCGTTACGAGTAATGAAATTTATTATCGCCAAGCTACTACTTCGGCACGAACATTAAGAAGCGCGGTATAATAATGTCACATTTATCAAAGATTGTGGGGATTTTATTGAGTTGCTCGTGTGAAATTATGTGTTAATTGAAACAAATAATATACAGGGACTGGTCGAAGAAAAGAGCTTTCGATTTAATGTGCACTAAAAAAATAAATGAAAAATAAGTAGAAATGGAAAAATAATTTGAAAATTGAATCTTTCGCGAGATATTTTAAATAGTAGAATCGATTTGTATAAATACTCACGTGAAAATGTGAGCAATCATTTGGATTAAAAAATCACTTTTATCTCTGATAATTTAATTTAATTTTATTTTATTTTATTTAGTTCTCATTTTAAAGAATTTTTATTTATTTTCAATTTAACAAGTATGTCAAATCGTAAATTCTTTTCGAAACAAATATACATAAACATACATAATTAAATTATCTACGTGAAAACGTTTATTAGCTTTTAATTAATTTTGAGAAATTTTTCCATAATTTTTAATTTCTAAATGGCGTATAACCGTGATATTTTGCGAATTAATATTCAAGATCTGTAATAATATTCTGTAAAATATCGATCAGTCTAAAGCATATATTTATATACTATCCAGTTTCAAATTTTCAGCAAGATATTATTATACGTGGCTCCATTATATCAAAATCATACGTACGCACAAATGAATCGTCCAATTAACGTGTGCGGCAAATAACAACAAGAACCAAATAACATGTTACTTCACCCATGACTAATTGACTTGGCGTTAAATGCCGATGGTTACCTTAATTTAAAGCCAATCCTGCATCCACCCACGATACGTTAGCTAGGATAGCTAACACACTCATAAATATGTACCTGTCCCTAACGTAAATATATACCTTGCGCCTCAGGCAAAATTCGCAGCACACCAACTGCACGATATATTAGCCTGGATTCGCTCAGATAATAAGATTTATTATCGTCCATCGTCCGACCTTCGTCAAACTTCCGCACTTCCACATCACACACACACACACACACACACACACACACACACACACACACACACACACACACACACACACACACACACACACACACACACACACACACACACACACACACACACTACTACTACTACTACTACCTACCTACCGTACCGTACCGTACGTACCGTTACGTTACCGTTACGTTACGTTACCGTACGTACGTTACGTTACGTTACGTTACCGTTACCGTTACCGTTACCGTTACCGTTACCGTACGTACGTACGTAACGTAACGTACGTACGTACCGTACCGTACCGTACCGTACCGTTACCGTTACGTTACGTTACGTTACGTTACGTTACGTTACGTTACGTTACGTTACGTTACGTACGTACGTACGTACGTACGTACGTTACGTTACGTTACGTACGTACGTACGTACGTACGTACGTACGTACGACGACGACGTACGTACGTACGTACGTACGTACGTACGTACGTACGTACGTACGTACGTACGTACGTACGTACGTACGTACGTACGTACGTACGTACGTACGTACGTCGTACGTACGTAGTACGTACGTACGTACGTACGTACGTACGTACGTACGTACGTACGTACGTACGTTAACGTTACGTACGTACGTAACGTAAGTACTACGTACTACGACTAACTAACTAAAGTACTTAACGTACGTTACCGTACCGTAACGTACGTAACTTAACTACGTACGTACCGTACCGTACCGTAACGTAACTACGTAACGTACGACGTACACAACTACGTAC